CTGTTAAAGCCCTTCTTAATTTGGACCCTTCTTACTTTTTCAGTCTTATGCCTTACTTCCCTCCACCATCTCTTTGACAGTGACTCTGGCCTCATTTCAGTTCCTCACACAAGACCCTCCATCTCCTGATTCTATGCATTTTTATAGGCTACCCCTCATGACTGGAATGTTCTTCCTCCTTACCTGCACCTCCTAGGTTCCTTCAAGCCTCAGCTAAAATTCCACTTTTTTTGCACAAAACATACCCTGATCCTTCTTAATGTCAATATCTTATCTCTGATTTATTATGTGTGTATATATCTGTTTGTACTTTTTTTTTTTGCATATTATCTACACCCATTAGATTTTGAGCTCCTTTAGGGCAGGGATTGTTTCTGTCTTCATTTATATCCTCAGCTCTTAGCATAGCACATTCTTTCCCCCATAAACACACGGGAGGCACTTCATAAATGTTTGTTAATTTGACTCTATTGAAAGGAAAACAAAAGCTACTGTTGACTTCTCAAAATATAACTCCTATGGAATTTAAATGTAGCAAAAAAGCCTTACTAGAACATCAGCTGCCTGGGAGCATCCACCAGGGCCTATTTATCTTTAAATGTAAGGGAAAAGGATATATTAAACATTTGCCACATGCCAAGTACTATGCAGAGTACTGGGGGGGGGGGGGAGAAAAAAAGATAGTACCCTGCTCTCCCAGAGCTCTGTGAACCTTGGGAATCAATGGCAGAACAAATAGTCTCCAACCATTGATGATTAGGAAGGAGGTATCAAACCCAAGGGCCAAAACTCAGTGGGGTTTGAGGTGGAAAGGAATGAGCACCCAGCCAAGAATGGTCATCCAGAGTCTGATAGAAACTAAGTAATGGTGATTAGAGTAAGGGAGAAGGTTTCAGGGAGACCTGCTCCTTCTGGTCCTCATCATCCCACCCTCCAGAAAACTGATGCTGGGCCTTCTTCCCCCCAAGTTACATCTTCCTCAGCTGTGAGCACAGTATTAAAGCGCATATGGGGATGTTTAATAAATGTTTAAAAGATAATTTCGTGTTTAGTATGTGTTGTGGTGCCAATAATAGCATTTAGCTAGGTACAAATGTTTGTATGTGAACAGGCAACATGATTTAATGGACAGAGAAACCTAGCTTCGAAGTCAGGAAGCTCTGGATTCACCTGCTGCATCTGAAACATACTGGTTCTGTGACTCCCCCAGTGCCCCAGGCTACTCATTGGGACTAAATTATAGATAGTTGCTAATTTGCATTGTCAGAAGGTTTTTTTCATTACTGCCAGTTCCATACACCCAGTAATATAAAATGGTATATAAGGGGGAGGGAAGGTGGGACAGGACAGGCAGTTAGCCAAACAAAACTAATGTCTTATCATTTCCTTTGTTATAGTCTGAAGTTAGAAAAGGAGCAAAGGGCAATCTGTGTAAGGACTGAAAGTAATCAGGGTGAATTCAAAAGCATCCAGGGAGTGTGAAAGAAATCCAGAATCAACCCTCAGGCTAATTTGATAAATCCTGACCCCTTCTTGCAATCCTTTTTTTTTTTAATTTGTTCTGCTTTTGTCAGAATCTTCATTTGTATAAAGTCAGTACAAGGATAATAGCAATTAATCAATCCTTTTCTTGAGAATTGTTACTAGGAGGAGCAGCATAACTAAACAGGAAGATGTCTGAAGCACTGAATGGAGGAAACTAGAGAGAAGCTTAACATTCCCAGGAGGAACTGAGTTCAGATTCGACCTCAGACACTTGTGAGCTGTGTGACTCCGGCCAAGTCACTTAACCTCTCTTTTCCTCAGTTTCCTAATCTGTAAAATGAGCTGGAGAAGGAATGGCAAACCAGTGTAGTATCTTTGCCAAGAAAATCCCAAATGGAGTTTGGAGAATCAGGAATGACTGAAACAACTCAACAACTCTGAACGCAGGTCCTCTGACCCAGTACTTCTTCCTAAAGAAATATTTTCCTTGCTAATGAGTGGTGAGTTTGCTATATGGTGGTCAGTCTTACATACTCACTCAGAAGGATTCGTTATGAAATTGACAAAAAAACAAAAACAAAAATCCTTAAGTGCTTTTCCTGTAGTAGTGGTGGTAATGGTAATAGACAACAGTAGTCACATCGGTAACGCTGTTATTGTTGAGTCATTTCAATTCTGCCAGATTTTTCATGACTCTATTTGGGGTTTTCTTGGCAAAAATACTCAAGTTCCTTCTCCAGTTCATTTGACAGATAAGAAAACTGTAGCAAACAAGGTTAAGTAACTTGCCCAGGATCAACAGCTAGTAAGTGTCTGAGGCTGGATTTGAACTTATGAAGATGGGTCTTCCTGATTCCAAGTCCATTTTTTTATCCACTGCACCACCTAGTTGCCCCTTCCTTGGTAGTAGCTAATGTTTACATAATATTTTATGGTTTACAAAGAGTTTTACAAATATTGTTACATTTTATCTTCACAACTACCTTGACAGGTGTTATTATTATCACCATTTTACAGATGGGAAAGCTGAGTTAGACATATGTTAAGAGACTTGTCCAGACTCACAGAATAAGTGCCTGAGATCAGATTTTAATTCAGATCTTCCCAGCTCCAAGTCCAGTGCTCTATTCACTGACCCACACAATTGCCATATTCTTACAGGGAAAAATTACTATAGCCAATGACTATAGCATTATTTCATATTTGCTAGATTTATTAATATTGATATATTTGCATTTACTTTATGGGAAATATGAAAGCAGTGAATTCAGAAGTGCCCATGAAAAGTTGTCAGTTTCCATAGTGTAAATATTGACCCAGTAGTGCACAAAATTTTGAATTTTATATAATATTTTGAAGTTTGAGAAGCACTTTAAATGTGTTAAGTCATTTGAACCTCACAATGAGAATCCTCTCAGGTACCCAAGAGCCATGCCCTGGATCTGACCATTCAATTTCGTAGGTACTTGGGCCTGTATTCTTGTTGACCACTTTAGGCAGAAAGACTCGATATTCTCATCACATAGCTAGTTACATTATCGGCTTATCATAAGAATTGGCTTTTATGAAGAATGACATAAAATAATACAATTATTTATTGATATCAATGATTCACCTAACAAATACATGCATGCATGTATATATACATGTGTACATATATATGTATAATATTTATTGGCTGAATCACTAATTTGTTGTTCAGTTGTTTTTTTGGTCATGTCTGACTCTTTGTTACCCCTTTTGGGGTTTTCTTGGCAAAGATACTGGAGTGGTTTTCTGTTGCCTTTTCCAGCTCATTTTACAGATGAGGAAATTGAAGCAAACAGTGTTAAGTGACTTGGCCAAAGTCACACAGCTAGTGAGTGTCTGATGCCAGATTTTTGAACTCAGGAAGATAATGAGTCTTCCTGACTTAGTTGCTCCAACTTGATATCATTGAAATCATTGATACCAACAGTTATTTTCATCAGTATTTCAATTCATGGGTATAGTGAAAGGTAGAAACTAGCCTCCATAAACTCTTCATGTCATATATGTGGATTAATCCCAAGATTCCTCATGCTCTAGTATAGGGAGCTCTAGTTGAAGAATGTCCTTGTCCTATTCAGGTCAACATCTTTATAATTTATAAACTTAGAAAGTTGCTTGAGGCTTGGAGAAGTTATCACTTGCCCAATGTCACATATCAAGCATGTTCCAAAGGCAGAAACCCAGGTCTTCCTAACTCCAAGGTCAGCTCTCTAAGCCTTTCATCATGTTGACTCAGAGAGAGACACAAATCCTGCCTCTGACCATTACCTTCAGCACGTGGTTGAAACTCTGAACCTCAGTTTCCTCATCTGTAAAATGAAGAGGCTGAAATACATGATCTCTGTTCTTTCCAGCTCTACAGAGATCCTCTGATTCTTTCACCTCTAGTCAGTCAACAAGTAATTATTACCTACTCACTACCTGTGCTAAATGCTTACAAATACAAACAGAGTCCCTCCCTTGATAAGCTTACATTCTAATTGGGGAAGGTAACACAAAAGGAAACTAAATAGGGAGGGGGGATAGAGAGAAGGTACCTGGCAAGTCCAGAGGTGTGCAAACTGGTGGGAAATGGAAAGATGACTGTTCTGAGCAGCTTCCTTCATTGGAGGTTCTGGAAAGAACTCTGTGTCTTCCATTTATCCTATAATCTAAGAGATTATACCCAAGGGCAGACGGTACTAACAAGATATTTCTAAGGATGAGGTGACCTTCCAGGATGAAGCAGTTCCTCTATTTGTCTATTCCATGAAGAATTATGAAAGTAAAACTTTAAAGAGAAAATCCCCACCTTTTATAGGAAGTTTTCCCAATCCCTCTTAATTCTAATGTCTCCCCTCTGTTAATTATTTCCTATTTGTCTTGTACAGCTTATTTTTTACATATTTGTTTGCATACTGTCTCCTCCTTTAGATTATAAGCTCCTTGAGGGTAGGGACTGTCTTTTGCTTCTTTTTTGTATTCCTAGCACTCAGCCTAGTGCTTGGCATACAGTAGGCACTTAATATTTATTGACTGAGAAGAATACAAATATAATCCTGTCAAAAACATTTTCCTTGTAATGCTCATAGAGAGGATGCAAATACTTCTTTCTTTGTGTTTAATTCATTGGACAGAGATAACAAGAATATTCAATGAATAAAAGGGATTCTTCATTGGCTTTCCTTTATTGTGTAAGTTCTAATGCTATTTAATATATTTTTCTCTTTTACTCATAATTCTTTTTAAATTGTAAAAACCCTAAACCTTATCTCTGTATTTTATACTTCTCTATCTATATATTCTTGTTATTCACTCTCCAGTTAAGCAATCTCAGCTATCTTATGCCCAACAAGAGAAGGTCTTCTGCTCCAATCTCTAGAACCAAAGAACCCCGAGACCTTTTCTGTTGTCAAAAACCAACCAAACAAACAAAAACAAACAAAAAAGAACATACACTCATTCCTTGCTATAACTTTTTTTCCTCTTTTTCCTCCTCCCTACAGGAACTTTTTACCCCTGAATGCAAGTTTAAAGAATCTGTTTTTGAAAACTATTATGTAATCTACTCATCCATGCTGTACAGACAACAGGAATCTGGTAGGGCCTGGTTCTTGGGTCTTAACAAGGAAGGGCAAGTCATGAAGGGAAACCGAGTGAAGAAAACAAAACCAGCAGCTCATTTTCTACCCAAGCCATTGGAAGGTAAGTTTCACGTTGGTATTATTACTTTCATATTTGGATTAAAACGATTTTTAAAATAGTTAACTGAGGTAGCTGTGGTGTAAGTTTTAGCTCCTCCTCTTCTCAGACCATCTGGATTTGATGTTTTACTCTGTTCTCTGAGGAAAAGAGGGGTTCAAGACCTGCATACCAGGAGTTCCCAGGTTCTGTGACTCTTCACAGAGTAAACTCTATAGAATTTATGCAAGCAAACATAAAGCTCAAACCATAAAACCCTTATTGGTAGGGCCAAAAGATGATTTTGCTTATTGTATTAGTAGTCAATATGCTTTGGACTATATTTATTTTCATATATTTATTTTATATTATTTATATATATATACATGTATATTTTTATATATATTTGTATATATTTGGACTATATTCATTAACCCAAAAATATTCTCCACCTCTCATTGCCAAAAGTTATTCCACTGTCACAATGGCTTGGTGATTTTCAAAAACAGATATGCATTATAAATCTAAAAGCCTACATTATGAAAGGGCCTTCGGAAATTCTACATACCAAGAAGAAGACAGTTTTTGTTGTTGTTATCTGCTTATGTAGATCATAAACTAGCTTAAAATAGCAATTTCTTTCTTGGACATGACAAAGATTAGGGAACACATCCTGACCTTGTAGAGCTAAGGGACATTATAAATTTCAAAATGTGATCATTTCCAGTCTTCATATAAAATGGTACAAATGCCTTATCTTGCTAAGATTATTTTGCAGAGGCTGTTTGTCATTTGTCATGTTAAACATCACACATTGTCTTTGATCATATCTCTGCACAGCTGTCCTAAAAAGGAGCCTTGTTAACTAATCAGAAAAACACATGCCTTTTTCAGTGACAGTTCTATCAGAAGTACCATTTACTTCTTTTCCACGTTGCACTTGTTTTGAGAACTACAAAGTTAAACTTGATTTTAAGGGATTTCAAATCTGTAAGGCTGTTCCAGTGATTTGTGTTTCTTTTATGCAGAAAATCAACTCTGTCGAATGAGGATACAAACCAGTACAGGCGTTCTATCCTTGCTTTTTTCCTAAAATGAAAAGCTGTCCCTTCCTATGAAGTTTATCTATATTTTAAGCCCATCTCTAGCAGTGCAAACTTTCAGAGTTGGAGCGTACATCAGTGCCCATCAATTTCAGCCGACTTCAGCAACTTCTTTGACAAATGGTCATCCAGCTTTTGCTTGAAGACCTCCAGCAGTGGAGGATGAGGTCACTGCTTTCCAAGGCAGCCTATTCCACGTTTGGATAGGTCTAATTATTTAGAAAATTTTCTCTTATTTTGAGTCTGAATTTGTGTCTTTGAAACTTCCACCCATTGCTTCTGACAAAAGAGAAGAAATCTAATATTTTGTCCAAGTGAAAGCCCTTCAGATACTTGAAGACAGTTTTTCTGTCCCTTCTAAATTCTTCAGTTCTTTAGGGTAAATATCCCCAACTGATTCTCATATGATTCAATCTTAAGAGCTCTATCACCTTAGCTGCCCTCTTCTCAGTCTATCAGTATCCTTCTTAAAATGTGGCTCCTAGAATGAACACAATTCTCCAGATGTAGTCAGAGAAGAGTAGAACAATGTCTTTCTTAAGGCCACTAAAAATACCATGAATTTTCCTGGCTGCTATGTCGTACTGTTGGCTTATTTTGCAATTGCAGTCCATCTACAATCAGAATTTTGTCTAACTTTACTTTTCTCTAGCCCTGCCTCTTCCACCTTATACTTAAAAGAGTGATTTTTTTTAACCCAAGGATAAAATTTTAACAGCAGTAAATGTCATTTTAGTTATTTTGAGCAAATTGTCTGAACTTTCAAGATACATTTGAATACTATCATCTACTATATTAGTTGTCTCTCCCAGATTTGCATCAACCACAAATTTGATGAACTTGCCATTTATATATTTATTTATGCCAGGCATTGAGAAAAATGTTGAACAGCATAAATCCCTGGGATATACTGCTTAATACCTTTCAAGATGGGCACTAAACCATTAAATGACAGGTCTCGCTACTCAGTTCTTTTTTTTTTCCTTTGAGACAATGATTTTTGTTATTTTAAGTCTCCCACTTGGCAACCTCAAATATACTCATTTTAAAAAGTTTTAATGAAGTACTTGAAAACTAAGATCCTGAAAAGTTCACAAAATATCAGTTCTACTGACTTGTATTCAGAAATTAGAAATATTTATTAGGCATTTCCTTCAGTTTTAAGGTGTAATCTAGCCATTTAAAACAAAAGATCCTAACGATGTGCTAGTTTCTCTTACAGTATATAAAATAGTTGCACCAAAGCAAATTTCTGTTTTCCATTAAAAAATACAACATATCAAAGTGTAAAAGACTGAAAAACTGAAATAATTTTCAAAAACAATGCTTAACATAGCTACTTAGTTTTCTGTAGGTCACAACTTTTGAAAACATCAATTTTATTTACTATTCATGAAAAATAGAATCCCTCAAATTATGCGGGCCTTTAGCTCACATTTATTGATCTTTTCTATAAATAGACCATTAGAGATTTTTTGGGTCAAAATTATTTGCTAAAATTCCAGATAATTTATATTTATAACATTACTTCCTTTTCCTACATGTTCTCTTACCATCATTATCATAATTTTAGAATTCTGTCAGGAACTGAAACCAAACTAATTGATCCAGAGCACAGGTATCAAACTTGTGGTATACAAACTAAGTGTGGCTAGAACCAAATTAAAATGGAATTGGAAATATTTAACTAATGAAAATTTTAAAACAATACAATATAGATAATATTAATTTGTGCTTTTCTAAGTCACTATGTGGAAGCAGGGATATATCTGAGTTTGAAACCATTTGTCTAGACTTTGCAGGTTTAATTTTCTTTCTTTCTTCTTTCAAATCTAGGGATCTTGTCCTCAAACTCTTTGTTTCCTTTCTCTTTCTTCCTGATTTTTGAAAGATGGCTAATGGTGGCTCAGCAATCACACCTGCCATATTTTTTCAGTGACTTGAACTCAGCAAGGGAATCTAGGTGCTCCTTACATTTATGTTGGGTATCTCCTGCTTATAAATCCATGTTACATCTTTTTTCAGTACAAAATGCTTGTGTAGAATAATTTGATATGCAATGACGAGTCAATTCTCAATTTCACAAAAGTACATCAGAACTTTCAGTTTCAAGTCACTGAAATCTTGATTTCAAAAATGTAGTTGTAATAGTTAAATACTTGCATGTAGCACCAGGCTCACTGTCACATTCCTCCCTCACAGTAATAGGTTGGGTCCCTAGAGGGAGAATGACTCCCTATCTCTTTCAGAATACAAAGGGTTGCCCAAAGGTGTAACGGCTTCTAATACTGTCACTGATAGGCCCCATCTGATGTGCTCCCCAAAAATGAACCAGTTGACATCACTTTACTTCTCTCTCTCTTTTATTTTTATTTTTTTTTTTGCAAGGCAGTTGGGGTTAAGTGACTTGCCCAAGGTCACACAGCAGTAAGTGTCAAGTGTCTGGTCTGAGACTGGATTTGAACTGAGGTCCTCCTGACTCCAGGGCCTGTGCTCTATCCACTGAATCAATTCACTTCTTCAACAGGGCATTTACTTTAAAAAAATGTATAGCATGAACTTTAGCTACAAAACAATTCTCCCCAAATCAAAAGGTACACTCCCTTTACGCCTACTCACAAGGTACCTTGGGAAGAGAGGGATTAAACTTGAAGAACAAAGGTAGAGAGGCACATATATCAAGAATATATGGGGCCAACATGTGTCTTAGACCCTAGATACCTGGCCTTCAAGGATCCCTCACTATATTCACTTCAGAGAGTACCATCAAAGATGGGCAAGCATCCCCTTTGCTTAGATGGACTGGCTCCATCGAGGACATAGTGGCTTGTCTGGTGGGTCATTCCATTGCTAGACCTCTTTGCTACTAAGTTGGACTCTTAACAAACTGCTACTGTTGCTCCCAGGTGTGGGTCTGAGCTATCAATGGAATCTTGGATGGCTTTGATAGAGTTTCTGGTCTCAGTACTCACCTGGGGACCCTTATCTCAGAATATTTATTCACCTAAGATGAGCAAAAGAAACGTAACAGCAACAGAAGAACTATGCAGTCATAGATACATGGTGGCTAAGTGGGAAATAAAGCTCTACCTCATCTCCATTTAGTAGCTGGAAATACACCTCCTACCTTGAAAATTTCTAGGGAAGAAAGCAAAAGAATATTCATCTGACCTTATTATATGCACACTCAGCTCCAACTCAGCAATGGATTAAAAGACTTTTTATCATTGCACAGTATCCTAAAAGGAAAACATCAGATTATATTTGGACGTGCTCTGAAGTGGGGCACGTAGGCCTCAAACACTGGCTCCAGCATAATAAGGGAGGGAGGGGAGGTAAAGGACCCCTCATAGTAATGAGGGGAATTAGTATGGTTGAAACTAGATTCACGGTGTCTCCATGTGTTCAATTGAAACCTGGCAGAGAGATACTGCATATGCTGTGTATTACCCACCCGGAAAGGCAATTCCAAACACTCACAAAAGACTGGGTTTTCACTAATTACACTATTTTGTTGTTACTTGTTACATTTTCACTCAGTGATTAAGATCTTATGATCTGCTTAATTGGAGAATTGTTAATGTCTCAATTCCTTTTATTTATTTTGTCTTATTTCAGAAGCTCTTTGAAATCCAAGCAATTAAGAACCTCTCTTACCCAGGATAGATCAGAGAAAAGATTACTCTTTCCTCAATGTGAGAGAGAAGCAAAATGGAATGAGGAGGCTGCAAGAAGTTGATCAGAGAGGCAGAATGGGGAAACAAGTTAACTTTTTTACTTTTCTTAAGTCAGATTTTGATGGTGGGATGCCAGTATTCTACTCAAAGAGAATTCTAAAAATATAGCCTATACCCATACTCATACTTCACTGGACCTAGATTCCATATCATGTATTTTCTCCTTTCCTACAGTAGAGATAATAACCCCTCCATATTTTTTGTCCTATTCCCATGTCTTTCCAGAAATCATCCTCATAGGGTCCATCATCCATAGCCATGTAACATCTTCAGAAGACAATAGGTTTCACAAAACCAATTTTTTTTTTTCAGGGAGAAGTCCAAGTATTATTGAAAGTATTTGCATTCTTTCTCTTACTTCATTCTTGCTCTTACTTCATTTTTGGTCCATCTGTAGTGCTGGTCCCAGATCTGTGCACTGACAGATGTGCACTTCTAAATTATTCAGATGCATATCATCATCTATGTAAGACACATTCTTCATCCACTTAGTTTTTCTCATTGCTAAACTTTGTAGTTTCCTGGGATTTGATTCAGTTACTCCAATACCCTCAACAAACAGGTCCATCAGGAGGAGTTCACCAACCTTTATCATATTTTCCAATAATTAGAAAATAGAAGTACTCTGCAAACAATTATGTGGAAGGGCTGTAATGGCAAACATCATCTGCTGTATATGGGTACCGGGGAAAGGTCAATTAAATTCAAACTTCCAAAGCTAAGGACAAGATTTAAAATATGTTATTGGGAGTCTTAAAGAGGAGTTAAGTATTTGCTTAGTTAAAGATGTTATAAGTTCTTCATTTCTCTTCTACCACTTCTCCACATATGAAACCAAGATCAGTCCTTTGATGCTTCTGCCTCCCACTCTAATTAGTCGAGGAAGGGATTCCAGCTTCATTCAGCAGCACAAAGTCCCCCTTAAACCATTAAGTGAGGATTAATCTGTGAGACTGCCTTGACATCTCTGTTAACACAGCTTTGATCTCCATTAAGTGTTGTAATACTTGTATCTTGGTGAAATATTACCTGGTTCAGTGCAGTAGAAAGGGAGATTCTGCCACATCCATTAACCAGGCAGCTTTAATACTCCAGCTTCCTAACTGAATGGGTACGTACTTCCTACAAAAGATTCCTACAAAAGCCCAAGAAGCCCCATTGGGCTAGCTCTGATTCATTTGGATTTCTGCTGGCAGATTATTTCTAGTATTTCATTATTCTTCCACCCACTGGTCACTGTGAAATGTGCCTTCCTAGTATTTCCTGGAATGTCTTTCTAAGAGGCAGATACTGTTCCATCTATTGTGATTAAGTACGTCATCACCAGGCTCATTCTGAACATTTCTCAGAGCTGAGTCAAATGTCAGCTTCCCGCTCACTTTCTTTTCACACTGTGCTTTCTGCTTTGTATAGGATGAAACAAAAAAAAAAAAAAAAGAAAGAAAGGAAAAAATGCTTCTTTAAAAGCATGTGAGGAATGACAATAAATGCCATGCAGGTGCTAAAAATTGGTTCAAGTATGATGGGGGGGAGGGAGAAATTTTAAACTAAGTGATGTTCACTGGAAAGCTTTGGCATAATTATGGTCAGATTCCTTCATTATAATATTGGATTACCCTGATTTTTCACACTATCGTTAATGTGATGGCCTTGAAACACTTGAAAGGAAAAGAATAATAATGAATGGCTGCACCTAGAAATCTCCACAAAAAGAAGTCCCTACTGTCTGTATGTTTCTCAGAGATATAGATGGAAAGAACCTTAGATGGTAGCCTCAGGGTATATAGATATAACTTTAAGTAGGCATTACTTTTCAAAGGAGAGCCACCTGGTATGGGGGAAATAAAAGACTGAGACAGGAGACCTGGTGCTAGCCCAGTTTTCACAACTTTAATATTCAAAAATTATCTATAAAATGTTTTAGGCAGCCTGGTGGAGTAGAGCCCATGCTGGCTTTGAAATTGGGGAACTTGAGATAAAAAAAAAAAAAGCTGGCTATCTTACTTGCTACTTGTATGACCTTGAAAAAATCATTCCTTTGGGCCTCAGTTTCTTCCTCCAAAAATGAAGGGGGTCAGACTAGATGACCTCTAAGGATTTGTCCAGTTTGAAGACCCATGATCCATGCAACTAGAAAGGGAGAAAATGTTTATTTATTTGCCCCTTACCACTGCTTATCTGAGCCAATGAACTTTCTTTTTGTCTTTCTTTCTTTTAAACACTAGTTGCCATGTACAGAGAACCATCTTTGCACGATGTTGGAGAAACAGTGCCAAAGGCCGGGGTGACTCCCAGTAAAAGCACAAGTGCGTCTGCAATAATGAATGGAGGCAAACCAGTGAACAAGAGTAAGACCACATAGCCAGATCCTCACAGATGTTGTGACTTAACACATCCTGAGCAAAGTTGAGCTCTTTCTCCTTGCCAGACATTTGGGCTCTGGGATCTATGGAGCAGCTAGAAGCAAGTGAAGGCTTGCTCTTTGCTGCTTCCCAACAAACTTGTTGCAAATGGATAAAGCTCAACGTGTTGCACCCTCCTCCCTTCCCTTGCTCTCCCCACTCCAAGAGGACACCTGGATAACCAGCTAAACTCAGACCATGGAATGCCCTACCAGATATGGAATGCCTTTTTAATATCTTTTCTGTGACTGTGACACTTCATGTGAATGACATACTTCACTTGATACACTTGATACCTTGCCTGCTGACAGTTACCCATAATCCCTTTCTGAGTCCAGTTTCAGCAAAATTCATGTGTTTAAGTTCAATTTTGTAGCACACCAATAATATTGAGTACTTTCTAGTTAGACGCTGTAACCCTGTGCTATTATGGATTTCTCTTCCTCCCTGCCCCCCCCCCTTTTTTTTTTTACAAGGCTGCTCGCTCCACTGTCTGTGATCTTTTGCAGGGATTGTGTTTTCTCTAAAAATTAAATGTTGCAGGTAGCTGAGTTTGGAAAGTGATCAGGGAATCAGGAAGCCTTCTAAACCTATAATTATAAATTGCACCTATAAAAAATAAGGTTGTTGTCATTGACTTACACTATTGATTAAATTATGAATATGCTCTAATATCAGATACCGTGCTCCTGAGGTCAGCATAACTGGGGAGGGAAACGTGTCAAACATGACCAGTGGAAAGCTAAGATAAGTGTTTGACATCCCCCTATAGTTTCTTTCTGTGTGTGTGTGTGTGTTTTATACATATCACAAGCTTACTGGTAATGGTAACATTTGCCTTGCCCAGCGAGCAAGACCCACTGGTTTTTGAGAAAGTGGGTCCAAAGAACTCTGTAGGCCTTGTAGGCCTGAATTAAGGCTCATTTTTCATCTACTAATCTTCATTATTTGAAAAACAATAATTATGACTAACAAGAATTGCGCTACCTAAATCCATTTCAAATATAATCTTTTCCAGTTTTTAACGAACTGAACTTAATACCATCCCAATTTTTGGCTGCGTTCCACTCATACTCAGCAGAGCATGGGCAAGGCGGCTGTTGTGTTATTTTCTGAAGCAGCAATGCAAAGGTTAGTTATAAATTAGACTTTAATATTTTTGGTGTTTAATGACAAGTTTTTAAACTGGACATATTAGGGGAAAAAAGTATTTTTTTTAGCTCAGCATGCCGAGTCCAGTACTGTGTATTTCACCAGTACATACCTCTAACCCAGCTCTTTGGGGCACGCCCACAAATGGCTAGGTTACAGGTGCCTTGCCTTGATCTCAGAATACAGTCTGTTGAATTGCTATAGATGAAAAAAAACAAAAACAAAGGAAAACAAACTCATTAGAAGATCAGCTTTTAGCTTCATCTTTTTTTTTTCTTTTTTTTCTTTCTTTCTTTCCTTTTTGAGGGAGTGGGGCAGACTATTGTTGATGACACTTAGGGCTGTTCATTGAGCTCAGTGTAGCCAACATAAGACACAGGCTGTAGCAGTTGGCTAAAGGATAACAATGCCATACAAAATGTCATCTAGTAAAGGTGAACATTTTCAGAATACTTAGTGTTTATCTTGTCAAAGATTTAATAGATAATGAAAATTGTGTATGCTTTAGGAAAACTAAATTTTGGTTCTCAGAAGAAGTAATTATGACCAATCTGTACCTCAGTCCTGGAAAACTGTGTGGGATCAGTGTCCTGGCCTCTTGATTGATAGTATATCAACAGAGATGGATGACATGATCACCATTTCTCCCATCTGCAATGTATCTACTGGGGAATTCTTTGGTCATTGCTTCACACTAAGCATCATAAGAGCCCTTACTTGTTGTTTAATACTTTTGGTCTGCTTTGCTGATTAATAATTTGGTATAAATGAACTGTTTATGCTTCTGAAATTTTCATATTGGATTCAGTTTTAATAAATAAAAGTTAGTATAACGTATGAGTAGAGTATCATGGATGATGCTAAATAGACAAAGTGGTTCTTTTACCTGTTCTTAATTTCTCTAATTCCATTTTAAATGCAGGGTAAGCCAGTTTGACTTTAACTTTGGAAGGTGAAGAAACATTTTGTGAAGTTCATTCTCCTGTAACATGGTGGGGAGGGGAAAACATGGTCTCCTTCAGTGCTACAAGAAAGTAAGCACAGTGAAATTTGGAAATTTAAAGAGATGGGGCTTCTAAGTACCATATACTCAATCCCTACTCTCCCTCCCCCATTCCCATGAACATACCCATTGTTTTCGATATTAAACTCTACTTGCTGGGTCCTTCTCGCTCTGCAAATCCCTTTGACTGGTTAAAATTAAAGCCGAATTTGTAAATGACTAGAATGTTCTGTAATTGTAACACCTTTGCTTTTAGTTTGTCTGTTTCTATCGGTTGTCTATAAGGTGTTTATTCCTATGAATGGATGTCTTAAAACAGTTTCTTCTAAAATATGTTTCAACATAGAACAGAGGGGTCTTTGTTATTTGTGCTTTGGTTAGGCCTTTAATTTTGTGTCTGGTCTCATCTGTTGCATGGGAGAAGGATGGCAATGGTGAACTGCATGTAGTAGGCCCTGTGTATCAAGAACTGTTGGTATGTATTACTAAATTTACATACATATATGCAAAGAGTTTGTCTGCATTGTACAGTTTCTGTGTTTATTATCATTTGTTGTATACACAGATGCAACATATTGAATAAAATATTTATACAAAGGCATATTGAAAAACATCAAACAACTTTATGTAAGAAATAGAATGTGCAAAAATGACATTGCACCACCCACAAATATAGAGACATGTCATGTAAATAGGTTGGAAAACTCAATTTTCCCCTTTGCCATGCCAAAGAAAATTTTAGCTCCGTGATAATACCTCTATTGCTGTTTTTCAGGATAAGATTTCACCATTCTGTTTCCCCAAATTAAGTTTGCTGTTATTAAGTGAAACTGCCGCAGTACTGTATAGTAAATCTGATGAAATCGATTTGTACTTACAGATTGTGTGTCTTGTACTTCTATGTACATATCCATCCCTTATGCATCAAGTTTCTATAGTTGCCCATTCCTTTGGCATGTGTGTCTTGTGAGAGCTTTGATTTCTATTGGTTTCATATTTGACTGCTTTTCACAGTTCCCCGCTGAGAGATTATTACCAATCACCCCTGCTTCCATAATGCTCATCCCTTAAATATTCCAGCACTAGCTTTGTTTTCCAACCAGATTGGTTTTTAAACAGTTTTTGGCTGCGGTAGAAGCTGGCAATATTTGCAGAGATGTGATACAATCAGTCCACCTTTCAATAGACAGAAACTAAAAAGGAACGCTGTTCCCACTATTCAGAATATGTCCCCGTTTTGTCCATTGTTAAATATCTCTTGAACACCTGTATGGAATTTCTTTTCGGGTCGAACATCAATGAAAAGAAGAAGGGGGAATGTAAGTTTTCTGATTTGAATTTCTCACATTTTACAAAATAAGTCCAGAGCTGGGCTATAGAGTGACGATAAGGGGAACCAACATGGATTCATTCTTCAGCCTCAGGATAAATGTTCAGGTGGGGTTGGGCTAGATGTCCTCTGTGGTCACTTTCAACTGGAAAATTCTATGAAACTGACTAGAAGCTCTGTTTGTTCCTGAAACCAAACTAAACACCTCCCCACTCATCCTCATAGTCCCCTTTTGGAAAAGCATGCCTGGACAAAATAGGAAATATCATTTGTATGGAAATACTTGTTCCATTTATCATCTAAATGACTTTTTGTCTGATAGTCCCTAGGAATTCTATTACTACATTATGCCAACTTCAAAGCAATAAGAGAACCATCATTTTGAGAAGAATGAAAGAAGACCTGCCAAATGCAGTGGTACGTATAGTCAAGTCCCCCTAGGCTTTCTTCTGATGTTTACCAGTCAAGTGACAGGCCAAACAGTTGAAATGAAAGACAAAATAAGGTTATTGTGTTTCCCTATAAAACCCCCCTTGAGCACATTGTGGCAGTTGCTTAATTCATTTCTAAATCCCTAATACATGGTATTTTTCATCATGACTAATACTAGTGTTGGGATTCAATTTTTTTTAAAATGTAACAAACTCTTTGTTCCACTTTGCAGTCACAGACACACTCCATTGAATTTCTCCTCCAAACCAATACATGCCGTTTAGATTTCTCAGCAAATGCCTTCCCAGGAAGGAGGAGGAACACCCAGTGAGGGGCATGGGTAAACAGTACCTTTAGTAAATACGCTTTAGAGAGAATCTATATGCTATAAAAATAATGTCTAGGGTTAAATGTTCAGCTTTCCCAGAAAAGCAGACAAACAAAAAGCTAAGATTGTGGGACTCTGGTTTTTAGCAAGGGGGGAAATAATATTTCCTTACATCTTCCCAGCTGTGTAGAACTAATAATGTTTCCTCTAAACTGACTTGACCATAGAGTAGTTTTTTTTTTTCAGAAGGAAAGCACTGAAATTGATTTTTTTTCCCCATTTATACCACTTTTGCATGCCCACTGGCAGAAACAGCTTTTACCTTGTATGGTAGACTACTTCTCCCCATCATGGAGCCAGAGTCCTAGCCTCACTCTGAATTTGGCTTTGAGAAAAGCATGAGGATCCTTCATTTCTACCAGTACCCTATCTGTAAATTACATGTCCTCTGTCACTATGATTTTCTGGATGCAGATATTAAGACAGGCTGCCTGTATTGTACCACTGGGTAAACACTGTTGTTATGTACAAATTAAATTATACAACTTTTTCCCTTTTATAAGCATTTGTCATGAGAATGAAAAGGGATATTTAAAAAATGAGTTTTCATTCTTATTCAACCACCTTTGTTAATTATATGTCTAATGACATAAACCAGTTTCAGTATTATTTTCTATAACTTAGTAAACCCACATTGTATCTGATAAAACAAAACAAAAACAACCCTTTTCTACTTTGTTAAAACATTTTTTGTTTTAACATGTTTGTTAATACATGTTCTGATCTTTAAAGTTAAAATAGTTAATCCAGTAGCTGAAATAATGTATAGATGTATATATACACATATGTATATACATATATGTACTTGTGTGTATATATATATACACACACATATACACACGCATCTATTATATATATATATACATATATACACATTTTGACACTTAGGGAAAATATCAACATAGATGTGTTCGCATTTTTTGTTTAGTTTTACAATGGGATAGAGTGAAATATAAAGAATCACAAACAATATTAAGTATACCTAATATTACCTGACAAGAAAAAAAAATATGCTCTCTTGGAGAATTACTAACAAGGGGTTCCATGAAGAAAGTTTCATAATTACTGGAACCAGTAGTTAATACACAAATGCTATTCATATTTTTGTATTTCCTATTAAATAATATATGGACGAGACCTACAATTTCGTTGGCATAGGGATATCCCCCTAGCAATACAGACTGACAAAATCTTGACAATTTATAGTCTTAGATGAGTTGGGGCACTGAAAGGTTAAATGACTTACCCAGGTTCTCAGTTCCAGTACATGTCAGATGAAGGACTTGAACTCGGGTCTTCTTCACTATAAGGCCAACTCTCTGTCCATTGCCTCCTGCTGCATCTCATTGCCACTTTCATTAAAATACCAGTTAATATATTCACTGAAGTTTGTTTGGAAGTGTGACATCAAAACAGAAAAGAGAAAAAAACGGAGGTATAAATCTTTTCTTAGATTCTGACTTCACTTCCCGCTTTTTAAAAAGCTTCTATCACAGCTGACTCATAGAAGGACATGGAGACAACTGAGAAGGTCCTATTAATCTACTTCAGGCTAATGATGGAGAACTTACAAACACGACAATGTACAGGAATACTATGGCACATTTCCAACAAATAGAAAAATCAGTCCCTAATCTGCCAATTTCCTAAGAAACCAGGTGATTTTGGCAATAGCTCTCCCTGTTCATTTTTGGGATGGTTCCTAACTTTGGTGATATCATTTCTAAAGCCCAGCTCATGACTCTAAAATGTCTACAATACTTATGATGGAATTTACAACTTAAATAGGCATCTTTCAAAACATTAAAATACCTTTCCCTAAATTGTACTACAATTCCACAAATTTACTTTGCCAAATTTAAGCAATTTAAGCAGAACATGTAAATTAACATTTTTTGCCCTTAAACTTTAAAAGGTTGCAATACTGATATGCATAATTAGATTTAATGGTAAATAAATTGGGGATGTCCCAGTAATTGTAGATTTTTTTATAATTCATAGGGATTTCATACCAACATTTCATCATTGACAAGAAATTTTTTTTTTGTTCATGCTAATATAAATATCTGTAGTTCTTATTCAACCTGTACCAGTCCTTTATCTTGACCTTATCAAAGCTTGAGGGGCTAATACTAGTGGCTTATGATATATCTCCAAATTATATTTTCTAATAAGTCTATTTTCCCAGTAACTAAATACTGGTCATCAAAGGCATATAATGTCATGAAACCACAAAGACGTCTAGTCAGAGTCCTCTAAATGCCTTAACTTACTGAGGAGAAATTTACACATTGAGAAAATCCATCTCCACCTAAATGTACCCTTTGACCATTTCCAAAGCACTTTACAATCCTTAAAGTGCCATATAAATGTTAAATATTAATCAGAAATCTCCAAACTTAGCAGTATATAAGCCATTTCCCTTGTTTTTTTTATGATCAATAGATACATACATATTCACAAACAGTACAATCACATCATGACATTATTTATTAAAATTTGAAAATTGTACATTTTTCTTAATTACTCTCTGCATCTTAAGGGTTTCTTTACATGAATTTTGAGTTCTGCAATGTGAAAATTAAACAACAAGCTTAAAGGTTCTTTAATGCTGAAAGTGACCAAATTTGAAAGGGATTGATTGCATTCTGTTGTCACTGTGAGGCTTTGCCACAGACTATATGTACTATGGCAGTGACTTTTCTATCATCCACATCTAGAAGTTCAGACTGGGACATGATATAGTCTGTGTCTGATCAATAGCTTTGCAGTTTCATATGTGAGGTCTCTGCCTTAATGTGATTTTCATTGTGTAATGATGTGCAGAGCTGACAACCATGCAAATTACGTAAGAAAGCCCTTTCTTGTGCTATTTCCATCACAAACTGCTTAGACTCATTTTTAATGGGTACCCAGATTTTACTCAGGCATTCAGGAATAGAAAAAACATACAATAGTCTGCTTGAGTAGCCCTAGTGGTGATTATATGCTGTTTGCTGTGCATTTATGTGTTCTAATGGCCTAAAAAAAATAAGAACTTAGTCCTTTGTCATGTAATTGTTAAGGATATTCTGCCCCAAGCCAGATTTCACAAGCATTTCCATTCCATCCATCCCAGCATTCACAGTTTCCACAGCTACATATTCCATTGCCTAGAACAAAAGGAACAGGGGAATCATTATCATAATTGAAATGTATTACATTAAAATGTGTTGTTATAAAACGAAACAAGCCATAATAAAAACCATTCCATTGGCTCTTTAGAGATTGTGTTATTGTGTAGAATGTTTTACATTTCACTAAGCAGCTAAAAGAAACTGGCTCTTTGAAACAATTAATGGCATCTTTCCAGCACAGTCATCAGCCAAAGAGTAACTATTGTAATTATTCCATCAGGTTTTGTACCCAGCTGGGCTTCCATTGACATCTTTTGGGCCTCCTCTCTCAATAAAGACTCAAGGTAACAAGCTATATAGCAGGCTTGTCTTTAATAAGGCTAGAACGTACAAACACAGCTAACTAGTACAGTTACAGACAAACTAACATAATAGGAGGCAGAGGAGCAATGTTGCATTACATCGGACAGGAAGAACAGGTCCCGCATAAAGATTTCCTCTATAGGAAGATGCCTGGTAAACTTGTTATCCAGGGAGTAGTTGAAGGACTAGGTATATTAGTAAAGACCATTTGAAAATGCCCTCTGTGCTCCCTCCCCCATTAGAAAGCTTTTATCCTTTTGTGAGAAGGTGAAGGAAGGTGGAACTGTCCCGATTTTTCCTTATATCCGCCATTAATGCTCTCAAAGCTAGAAAAACCACTCTAAAAACCCTGTCATTTTAGTAGACATTGCACCATTATCATGATAACTTTCTCTTCCTCCTCATTCCTATTATTCCTACTTCTATCAATGCAACAGCAACATCTTCCTTGGCTGAAGTTATGAAAAATATGAGATACCCCTTACACAGGGGTCAAAGTGCAAGGATCATCAGAATCATTTCCATTTGCCACATTTCCATTTACTGTGCCGCATATTAAAATGTTTTGGTATTCTTTAAAAAAATGCCTCATATGATTCTTACCAATGATTTACTCACACTTTATACCTTGCTGTTTGTCTATCCCATCCTTTCTTTGGAAATCAATTGTACCCCTATTCTGTCATGTCTCTTCCCCTCCGCAAAGTCACTTTCATATCAACGGGTAAATTTAACATCTCGCCTTCCGTGCATGGAAGGAGACAGACTATGCCTGGAGTGGTCTTGTTGCTTCACATTTTCATCTACCAGTTTTGCAGCCTGCTGCTCAGAACAAGGGGGGGGGTGATCTGGACCCACACACCTGTGCAAATGAGTCCATCATGCTTGTCGCAGTCTCTGTCGTCGCATTCACAGAATTCCCCTGAAACGTACCATTCCTGAGAAGAACAGATGCACTTTCCACAGTGACAAGAGCCTGTAATCACAAAGATTATTATTTATTGTCATGGCCCAAACATGCTTTTCAGTCTCGAATAGACTGGTGCTATATACCAACCACCACCTCTAAGCAGCTACCGTTGTAAAGGCAGGAAAAATCAAGATAAAAGATTATTGAACAGAAAAGTTGCTTAAAGGAGGGCTTTAACATCACATTTATTTCTACTGAATACCCGAGTTTGTCATTTTATCTCGTAGTTTTCCAGTAAAGAAATCCTTTTGGGGTTCCAATAAATGTATTTGTCACTGAACTACGTTAGAGCAGTGCGTTATGAAAATGTCAGCAAGGTTCCAATTCAGGTCCCATGACAGGTGCTTATCCATTTGCTTATCCCAAATGGATTTGTTGTGTAGAAATTGAGGTCATGTAAATTAAATCATGTTTTAAATGCCTGACAGGAACTTATAATTTAAGGGAATCCAATAATGAATTCTGAAAAGTGAAAGCTTTTTGTAGTGAAAATAATCACTCCCCAGTTGGTTTATAAATTACAGTTTTCATTTATATGTTTTTCTTAAAAGTGAGGAATATTGGGAGTCATTAGCTCTTCCATATTCTATCCAGAAAAGATCATTTAGGATAATCTCCCAAAAAACAGCAATCAAAAATTGCCTAATAGTGGTCAATTTATTCAACTAACTCAATCCAACAAGCAATTATTAAGCATCTATTGTGTTCAAGGGACCCTAGATTCTAGGGATAGAGAGTCAAAAATGAAAATTGCTATTTTCAATGATACAATGAGCTCTTCAATAAGCATTTAAAGCTAACAAATATTTATCCATTCCCTAAGTTGTGCAAATCACTGTTTTAAGTGCCAGGTAGGGGTGGTGGTGGGATAAAAGAAATCCAAGTATAGTCTCTGACCTCAAGAAGCTTCCTTCTGCAATTCTTTACTTCATTTAAGCTTACTTTTTCTACCAAGGTTCTTAAAATAGTTCATATGTACCTTTCTTTTCTTTAAAGGGATGGATATTACTGATAAAATTGTGTTTTTACAGATATCAATTATGTTCACAGACAAAAATGTCTTAGGAAGGAAGTGTTCTTTCTCTTGACATCCGTCAAGAAGACATTGGAAAGGACCTTGGAATATGTCTAGTCTAATCCCTAAGCAAGGCCCAAAAAGATTAAATGACTTGGCCTAAACTACGTAGCTAATTTTGTGGCTGGTATGGGAATTAAACCTAGGTCTCCTGAAACCTAGTTCAGTGCTCCTTAACCATATCCTTCAATATATTGCCTTGAGTTGGTTTCTAGTTCCAAATGTCATGTATTGTTAGATTAGATATTCAGGGTTTGAAAGTTCTAAATGGCCAAAAGTATATATTATTAGGAAAATTTTGATTTTGCAAAGTTCTTGAAATATTCCATGAAATTTCAACAGACTAGTTTAAGATATATTTGAAAACTGGGTCTTCAATGCCTCCAGCAAGCACATTCGTTCTGAAAAGGAACATCCATTTGTGTGATAAATGAACAGCTGTTTGAATGGGGAAGAAAATGACTAGAAAAAGGGAATTGCATTTCTTAGAAAGATGGGGTATAGGGTGGGGATTTTATATCCAAAACAGGAGGTAATTCACTGCTATTGGAACCCATCTTAAATTGCCAACTAGTCAGGCTCTGCTACATAGTCATCTGTAACATTCCCTTCTATCGTTTGAAGTACAAAATTTCTAAAGTATCCATATGTTGCAACAGGCCAAAAGCGCTATCTCTAGAGCATCAAGAAGATCTTTGGCAAAAGATCAAACACCTTTGATGTTTGAAAACAACAGTTAGGACATCACAAAAGCTCAGAAAGGAGGCTAATATTTTTACTTGGTGGGCAAGAGGGAGCTGCCAACATTGCTTTTCATTTTCATGGCAAAGTAAGAAAATAGTTGTAGAACTATACACTACCTTCCCCAAGTATATCTCTTATAAGGAAATTTTCCAAATAGATTTTAAATTTCTTGACTCCCCCAACTACTTCCTTGCATATCAAATGTTTACCAGCCCATGTAATACTTCCCATGATTCCCATCCCATTCTGCCATTATACTGTCAGCACTAACAAACTGAAGGAAGTCATAGTGGACAGTCATGGATTTTATTTCCACTTATATTCATCATTAATTGGTCAACATTGATTGCTTTTGTATCTGGCCCATTTTTCTACCTGTGGGCCAGCGCTAATTTGCATGCTATCCTTAAGGAAGGTCAGGGTTACCTCAGTTCTGACTAAACGAGTTTCATAAATAAACACACCATTGTGAGCTCTCTTCCAGTAATAAGTAACAGGCTTTTCTCCTTTCTCAACTTTTTCAAGCATAGGTCTCCCTCCTATTTCTGTATTTATTTTGCCTCTGCTTTTAAGCTTCTTTTACATCTAGTCATGGAAGCTAATAGATAAACAAATAGATTGACAGACACAACTACTGAGAAAAAAAAAATGTCAGCCAAAAGAACACTCTGAATTTCATTAATTGTCAAAAGATTTACAGTAGAAGACATTACACTGAGCCTCTTTTTTCTATGGCTGAATAAAGGTAAATGCTTTGTTAGATGGCATCATTTTGGGGCTTTCTACATCTGATATAAGGAACAAAATGGTTTTGAAAAGCCCAGTTAATTATCACAAATGGCAGCCAATTGATTTCCCATTAGCTCTTCCATGAATCATATGCTTCTAAAGGCTCTTTTTGTGTGTGTCACAATATATGGTCCAGGCATCTTTATTCATTTCCAAGTTACTATGTTGTTAACCTCATTCACTTTCACTACTTCAGGGCAGTTCTTTATGTTGTTAAATCCAGAAACCTTCTTACCTAGTGACATGACTTCTGTCGTGGCCATCTCCATGTTGTGGTTAAAAAAAAAAAAAGTGTTTTCTTAAGTCCTAACAGACACAATGGAGCTTATTATGGGATATTATATTAGATCTTTGAACAATTAAAGTCTCAAACCGGCAACTCTGAGCACTAAAAACTCTCAGAAGTGTGCCAGAAACAGAAATCTCTAAAATGAAAAGAGGGAGAAGATGCCATGAAACAGTGACTGTTTCTCCCTACTGAGATCTTAAACTTCTATTTATAAAAGCTCAGTGCCTCCTAGAGATGGGAAACTCTTCCTATTACTTACTAGGTTAGAAATAATTTAACCTATGTTAATAATAATATGATATAACATAATAGGAGACACTAAGGCACTTTTCCTCCCAAGAGCTCCAGTTACTTTCACAAATAATGGAGTCTGCTCCCCCCTCCTACCAGAGGAGGTAATGGGGGAGAAGTTACCCATCAGCCACACTCAGGCTGTATACCTTTCAGGAAAGAAGCAACTTCCAACTTACCTGGAAGTTTAACATAACCACAACTTTGGTGAGAAGCTGACTAGATTTATAACAGAAGAACAAGACTTAATAACATCTCCTTCCCAGTTCATTCTGGTTCAGGACTAGAACACTTAAGAATGCTCAGAGCCTTATTTTGCCCCCAGTCCTTTGGAAATCAAGCATATAATTTTACTGTTCTTCAAACCATACCCTCTGAGATGGACAGAGGGAACAGATATTCTGATTTCACAGGTGAGGAAATGGAAGCAAAGAGAGATAAAGTGACTTAAGATCACAAAGCTTTAGCTCCCAACTAGGAACTGGACCAGTTTTTGCTCTTACCCCAACTCATCTGTACTGCTTCTCAGAGTCAATTTTTTTCATGTCATTTCAGCAGTGGGTGGATTTAATTCTTAGACATTTGATTATAGAACTAAATTGGGGATAACAGCTCTAACATGACACAATGACAATCCCTATTGAATCTGCCCTGTCCCTTGTATAGTAGAGATATACTGTGCACTTGGCTTGGGTGATCTAGAACTCAAAAAGTGCCATAATTCTACCTCCCAACAAACTGAGTACAGGGAAGTAGTTTAACATCTCAAGTTTGTATCCATTCCCCCATGACAGCTACTTTAAAGAAGGTTGGTGATGATTACCTGGAATTATGTTGAAATGATGAGGGACAAAGCCTGCCTGGGTGCTCTAGGATCCAAATACAACACACGGAAGCTCAATGATCAAAATCAAAAAGTCCCTTGTCATTGTGCTCAGATCTCTGCAAAGGTAACAGACTTCATGGAAAACAATCCAGATTGTGATATTAGGGGAGACCTGGACACTAAAATTATTTCTCCTTCTCTTGATTGTCCATGTAGACCTTTGAAGTCCAAGAGCAAGGCATCATTTTAAGTTACCTATATTTGTAGAGTTGGAATTCATTTTTATTTTGTTGTGCCTGGCAAAATGCTGCAATCTGACATCACAACAGGCGGTTCTCACTCTTGTACTAACCTTTCCATCCATTATGAATGGTCATAGACACTGTATCCGTTTTAAATTTTTTCTATGGAGTGATTTATTGTCTTGGCTACAAATTTGTAAAGAAATAAAACGCTATTTCTTCACCGTCTTCTGTCATGAGGTGTCAGCTTTGTTCCACAGTCATTTAAAATTTTTTTTTAAATGAGTGCTATGTAGTGTAAAGGCATACCCAGAGCACACTAGCCTCATCAGAATAATTTTCATGTCTTTACCACAGCAAAGAGTGAACATGGGATTTCTCTGCATGTGCTAATTAAGATGGCAGTGTTCTCTCAAAAAGTTTACTCCCAAAGTAACAAACTTTTATCAAATCATGATGTTCATAAAAGTCCATGTACATTTTTACCTCTTCCCTGACACCATGGTAATAATATTTATCATATGACTGAATAATAGAATCTGAGATCCAAGAAGGAGCATTGATACCACTTTGCCCAAACCTCTCAGTTTTATGGGTTTTCATTTTGTGTTTCAACACTAATGTCAGCAGTAATAGCTGCAGCCTATAGGCCTAGACTTAGGGATGAGGGTGATGACCTGTTGCTTGGGTTCCCACTGATTAACAGGAATCTATGATCTCAGTGTGGATACATTTTTTTTTTACTTAACA